CGCGGGGACCCCAGCTCATCCACCTGCGAGGTGCTGCAGGAGCCCTTCCTGCCTCAGCCGCGGAGGGAATTATTTATAGAATCATGAATCATGGAAGGGTGTGGGTTGGAAGGGACCTTAAAGATCACTCTGCTTCATGGGCAGGGACACCTCCCACTGTCCCAGGCTGCTCCAAGCCCAAATGTCCAACCTGGCCTGGAACACTGCCACGGATAGTGCAGCTACAGCTGCTCTGGGAAACTTCTGCCAGGGCCTCACCACCCACACAGGGAAGAATTTTCCCCAATATCCCATCTTACCCTGCCCTCTGTCAGCGGGAAGGCATCTCCCCTTGTCCTGCCCCTCCATCCCTTGTCCCAAGCTCTCCTGGAGCCCCCTTAGGCCCTGGAAGGGGCTCTGAGGAGCCTGAAAGGGGCTCTCCTGGATCCTTCTGTTCTCTGAGCCCCCAGCTCTCCCAGCCTGGCTCCAGAGGGGCTCTGGGCCTCGGAGCAGCTCCGTGGCCTCCCCTGGGCTCTCTCCAGGTCCCTCCTGTGCTGGGCCCAGGGCTGGGGCAGCTCTGCAGCCGGGGTCTCGCTGAGGGGCAGAGGGGCTGAATCCCCCCTTGCCCACGCTTTGGCCGGGCCCTGCTGAGCTTTTCACCCACCCACAGCCCCAAATGTCAGCAGGGCCATGGAAATGCTACCTCCTGCTTTAGGGGGCACAGACGGAGCTGTGGGACCCCCGGGCACAGCCCCCCCCCGCGGGGCCCTGCCGGGAACCCGCGCTGAGAGCCGAGAAAAGCCGCAAGTCCCTTCCCGACCTTCCCCTAAAAGCTTTTCTCCGGGATTAAGGCGTGCCCGAGCCTGGAGTCTTAAATCAGGCGCCAGGAAAAGCTCCCCAAAGGCGGGAGTGGCTCCATGAGGGGGGGACAGAGGGTCCCGCCCGCCTCCCCCCGCGACCCAGCTCGGCCAGACCTGCCCAGAAGGGCCGGGGCAGAGCCGGGCACCCGGGCGGGACCGACCCGTCCCGGCCACCCCGGCCCCGGGGCTGACACTCGCCTGTGACCCCCGGGGCGGCCGCGGCGCTGCCGGGGGCGAGCAGGAGGGGGAGGAGGAGGGGGACGGGGAACATCTGCGGGGCCGCGGGCGACAGCTCCGCCACCGGCCTGGGGCAGCTCGTCTGGGCGGGACCGCGCGGGGCCTGCCCGCTCTCCGCCCCCTGCTCCTCTCCTCCTCCTGCTCCTCTTCCCCTCTCCTCCCCTCCCCTTCCCTCCTCTCCCTCCCTTTCTTCCCTTCTCGTCCTCGCCTCCTCTTCTCTCCTCTACTCCTCCTCCTCCTCTTCTTCTATTTTCCTCCCGCCTTTCTCCTTCTCTCCGTTCCCCTCTTCTTCCCTTCCCCTCCACTCCTTTCCCTCTTCTCTCCCTTGCTCCCTTCCTCCTCTGTTCCTCCTTCCCCTCCGTCCCTCTCCCCTTTACAGGACTTCCAAACCCAACACACAGAACCCCCCAAGGTGCTGCCTCCTCCCGTCCCTCCTCTGCCTGTCACGGTGTAAAACCCCCAAATCCCAGCTCGGAGGCACCGGGGGAATGGCCTCACCCTGTCCCCTCTCCTCAGGATCCCACCTCGGCCACAAAACCCGGGGCTTTAACCTGGAGCAGCCCTTCCCGCTCCCGGCAGGGCTGTGGGAAGGACGGAACGCGGCTGGGGCGCTGCTCCTGCCGGAGAGTCACCTCGGAATCTCCAGGCGGCATCGGGACAATGTTTTTCTCCTTCCGCAGGAGCTTGGGCAGCTTGGGAAGTGCTGGGGGCTTTGTGGCAGGGAAAAAAAAAATCCCCTGGGGAGGTTCTCCGTGAGGACACCAACAGGAGTAACGGGGACACAGGTGTGGGCAGGCAGGAGCCCACGCAGCCATCCCGATCCCACTAGAGGGAGCGAGGAGATCAGCTGTGCCAGGGGCCGCTGGGAGCGGGGAGCCCAGCCCAGGGAGGGAGCTGCAGCAGAACTTGCCTCTAATTGCCTGTCATTGTGTCCGTCGTTGTGTCTGTCACTGTGTCTGTCCTTGTGTCTGTCATTGTCTGTCATCCATCGCCGGAGTGCGGGGACGCTCCTGGCCGGGGTGTGGATGTCTCGGGAGCTGCTGTCCCGCCTTGGGATGTTCCAGAGGCTGCTGCTCCTCATCCCTCCTGGGAAAGCTCGGTCCAGCGTTTTATGGGGCTCCTCCATCCATCCCTTCCCTGCCAAACTCCCACCAGCAGCACAGGGAGTGCCCCTGGGTCCCCACAGAGCCCTTCTGCTCCTCTTTTCCCTCTCTCCCTGTGCCTTGGCTCACAACCTCCACCAGCCAGAGGCCAGGAATGGCTGTGAGGATCAGCCTGTGTCCGTCCAAGCCAATGTCCTGTCCCACTTGGGTGACCAGCCCTCCCTCCATCCCTCCAGCTGGCACGTGTGAGCCTGGAGCAGCTCCGATGCCACCAGGCAGGGAATGTCTCCACCTCCTCTGTGATAACAGGGACAGACAAACATAGCCCACGGGCAGGAGACAGCCAGGGACGGGCTGGGCTGCTCCCAGGGTTGCAGGGAGGAGGTTGGACGCCTGAGCCTCCCGCTGGAAGTGCGGTGTGATCAGGAAGAGGTTTTTCCCGAAAACCATCTCAGCACGGGAACTGATGGGTTCTGATCGAAAGACAAACATCTGAGGGCACATTCCAGGGAGGTTACAGCACTCCTGAGCTGCACGCGATGACTTCACGTCGCAGGGGCTGCTGTTTCCCGAGGGAGGACCGTGTGGTCAGCCCTGTTTGGAGTCATCAGCTGCTGGAGCCAGTGCCGGGCTGGGCTGAGAGGAGCCGGCCCTGGGACCGCCCCGGGAGGCGCATCCTGCGCTGAGCCAGCTCAGGGGGTCTGCCTTGGCCATCCCAGGAAACACGGAGAACAACTACAATTGCACGTTCCACCATCCTGCCCGAAGCAAACTGAAGCGAATCCAAGGGACAGGCTGGGAAATCCCAGATGCAGCTCCATGTCCCTGTTGGCATCTCCTGCTGAGTTTCCCCCATCCCAGCCTCACTGAGAGCACCAGGAAACACCAACAAACCCCTCTCCTGCTCCCCTGCACTTGCTCTGCACCACAGGCACTGAGGAAACAGATTTCCAGGTTCTGCCTGACCCGGCTCTCCCAGTGCACAGACCAGGAAACATTAGAAGAGAAAAACAACTCCTCAGCCAGGACTGAGGCATGCTTTTCCCCCTGGCCCCCACCCAATTTTCTCTGCACTGTTCCAGTTCTGGTCTGCCCTGACTCACAGACAAACCTTCTCTCTCCAAGAGAGCAGCTCCAGGCTCCAGTGTTCTGACTGCTCCTGGTTTCCCTCTGCCCCTCCTGTCCCATCCCATGGAGAGCACGCAGAGCAGTGGTCCCAGGTTCCTTCAGCACAAACATCTATGCCCCAAATGGCAAATCATAGAACTGTGGGATGCTTTGGTTTGGAAGGGATCTGAAACCCATCCCATTCCCCATTCCACCCCCTGCCATGGACAGGGACACCTTCCACTAGAGCAGGCTGGCAGCTGTTCCCCAGGTGTCCCCTTTGCAGCTCTTCCCCCCTCACCTGGCTCAGCAGGTCCTGAGCCCTTTTCCTGAGAACAACCAAGAGGGTTGATTTATCAGGGGATTTTTTTCAGACATAATTAGTCACCTCCCTCCCTCCCAGACCAGCCCCCTTCCCAGACTCCATGGAAGTCATCTCGCCTGGGGAAAGATCTCCGTGCCAGGGCAGGGATGGGGCTCTGGCACTGGGCTGGCAGAGAGGCAGGGAAATCAGTCCTGAGCCTGGAAGATGCTTTGGGGTGGGTGGGAGATCCCCTGCTCTGAGCCTCGGCTTCATGGTGCTTCTGGGGACACTGCAGGGTCAGACGTCCTGGGGAGGGGACAGCCCCCGGGGCAGCCACCTCCATGATGGTCTGGGGGCTGCTGAGCTGCCTGGGCTCTGGGCTGAGGCCACCACCCTCCCCAGGGCCCAGCAGGACAGGAGGGAGCGGTTCTGTAGGGACACCAGTGCTCCTGTCCTTTCTCAGGTCTCACTTTCATGTCACAGGTAACAGCACCTGGAGCCACAGACTCACCTGGGCACGGAGCCGCCACGGCAGCAGCAGGGAGCAGCAGCTTGTCCCACCTGCCTGCTTTCAACCTGCTCCACGTTTCTCTTGTGGAGCAGTGGGAATGTGACCCAGCAGCAGGACAGAGCCTCGGGCTCAGCAGCGATGGGCAGCCCTGTGCCCACTCCAGGAGGGCACAGTGGGCACGGCCTCCCCAGAAAGGCCTCCAGGAGATGCTCAGAGCTCTTGCCCCCCTGTCCTGCAAACCTGCACCTCTCTGAGCCTTTGCTGGTGGCCAGAGCTGATGTGAGGCTTATCACCAAAACCTGGCTCGGGTCGTGTCCTCCAGCCCTAAGACCTTCTGTTCTCAGCCCCGGGGTCTTCTCACCTGGGGTCACCCCAGCAGCTCCCACACTGTCCTGTGATGGTGGCATGAAGCATATTCATAAATCATGGTATGGCTTGGGTGGGAAGGAACTTTAAAGCACACCCAGTGCCACCCCTGCCATGGCAGGGACACCTCCCACTGTCCCAAGCTGCTCCAAGCCCCAGTGTCCAGCCTGGCCTTGGGCACTGCCAGGGATCCAGGGGCAGCCACAGCTGCCTGGACCTGCCCCACTCCTAGAGGAGAATATGTTCCCAATATCCCATCCATCCCTGCCCTCTGGCAGAGTGAAGCCATTCCCTGTGTCCTGTCTCTGTGTCCCCGTGAAGTGACACTCCGGGGCTCTCTGGGGACAGGCACCGTCCCCGCGGCCCCGCTGCCTCCCGAGCCGCAGCCCCGGTGCCACCATCGCCCCCGGTGGCCACGGGAGACCCCGCCCCTTCAGCCACAGGCCACGCCCCCAAGCCCGCCCCCCGCCCCGTCCGCCCGTCCGTCCCGCCGCGCTCGCGCCCGGGGCAGCGGGACCGGGACCGGGCCGGCCATGGCCCCGCACCCGCCCGGCGCCGGGCAGTACCTGCGCTCCGATAGCGGCGGCTCCGACACTCCCATGCTGCCCGAGGGCGCCGCTGCCGGGCCCGCTCCCGGTCACTGTCCCGGTGCCGCTGCCGCTCCGGACGGCGGCCCCGGTGCGGCGCGGGGGCAGCGGCGGCGGCGGTGCGGGCCGCTGTGGGGCAGCGTGGCCGTCATGGCTATCCTGGCGCTGCAGATCGCCTCCACCACCGGCCTCTTCGTCTACTTCACCATGGCCATCTCCAAGGTGAGCTTTGTCCCGGGACCGGAGCGGGGCTGCGGCCCCGGGTGTCCCGGCGGCTGCGGGAGGGCTCTGCCCGCTCCCGGACCTCGCCTCTGCCCATCGGGCACGGCAGCGACCGGGACGCCAGGGAGCCGCGGGTCCAGGTGCGGGCCGCGGGGCGGGCACTGCCCAGCGGGTCCAGATGTGGACTGGGGGGTGGGCACTGCCCCAGCTCCCCGGGGAGCCGCGGGTCCAGATGTGGATTGGGGGGTGGACACTGCCCCAGGGAGCCGCGGGTCCAGATGTGGATTGGGGGTGGACGTTGGCCGAGCTCCGCCCGGAGCTGCAGATCCAGCTGTGCAGGCGGGGGCGGAGGGGTGGGCACTGTCGCCGATGCAGATGTGGAGAGACGGCGCCTTTGTCCCGGGCCCGCCTGGAGCTGAGGTTCGCACTGCGAGAGGGGAGCTCTGCCCTGCGATCCCACCGCAGTCTCCAGCCGCAGATGGGAGTGCGGGGGGACTCCCCTGGGCTTCAGGCCCTACTGACCCCTGGTTTTGGCTTCATCTCTCTCTCCTCCCATTCCCATCTCCCCTACACTCCAGGACCCCCAAATCCTCCTCACCCCCTTTGTGAGATGCTGGCAGCCCCATTCCAGCAGCTCTTTGCTTGCTCCAGTCCAACCCCAACAATTGTGCTGGGATCCCGCCATTCCCACCTCCCCCGGGGTCAGTCGGGCAAAACCACTCCCAAAGTTGGCCGTGACGGTCTGATCCTTTCAACAGCCTCGCCAGCCCCTCCCCTCAGCTGTGATTCCGACCCACAACAACCCCTCAGCAGAGGGAGGGAAACGCCAGTCAGGAGATCCATGAGTAGAGGGAAATTCGGGCCTGGCAGCAGCTCCCTGGAAGCCGCCCTCATCCCTGAGGGCGCGGCAAGAAAAAAAAAAAAAAGGGTCCTGCAGTGCCAGACATTCCACAAAACACACCAGAGCCAGGGAAGAAGGAAAAGCCCTGCCACGGATGCAAGGGGAGTAAACAGCCAGTGTGGATCCAGCGGAGCATCCTTCGGAGTGGGCTCCGGCCCTCCTTCGGCCTTTGTCTCCATGCCCGGGTCACATGAGGTCCCGCTGTGAGGGATTTACATGAAAGGCGGGGAGAGGAGGGGAATGGGGAGACACAGCCCCAAGGAAGAGGCGGAGGGCGGAGAAAACCACTGTAGTGGAACAATTTGGGCTAATTTCCGCGGCCAGTCACCGGATCTGTGCTGGGAGTGGGGAGTCAGTCTCCTGGAGCCCCTTCAGGCCCTCGGACGGGCTCTGAGCTCTCCCTGGAGCCGTCTCCACGTGAACACCCCCAGCTCTCCCAGCCTGGCTCCAGGGCAGAGGGGCTCCCGCCCTCGGAGCATCTCCGTGGTTTTCTCTGGAGCCGCTCCAGCAGCTCCCCGTGCCGGGCCGGCCCCGGTTCCGCGGGCTGGCCCCGGTTCCGCAGGCAGCCCGGGGGAGCGGCCCTGCCCGGACACGCTCCCGCCGCGGGCACCCCACGGGAACGGCCCCGTCCCGGGGAATGCGCTGCCACCTGCCCGGCAGGGGTGAGCAGGAACAGCCTGCGAGCCCTCCAGCCGGGAATGGCCGGGGCAGGGCCGGCCGGGGACCGGGAGGGCAGAGATGAACCCAGATCGTTCCAATCTGACCTCACAGCGCTGTGCTGTGCGCACAGAGGCTGGACTGATCCCAATATCCCGGTTGTTCTCTGGGCGCCCGGGTGCTGGAGGAGCCGGGCTGAAGGCGGCTGCCCCCTGCTCACATCCCAGCAGGATCCCGGCTGCTCTGTCCCCGTTTGCCATCACGCTCTGTTTCCGTCCCAGCTGAAGTCCCAGGCTCCGGGCAGCGCGGAGGAGCTGCGGTGTCTGCAGGCGCTCAATCAGCAGCCCGAGGGCTCCGGCCTGGAGAAGCTGAGCAGCAGCCAGGGCTGCCTCAAGCTGGCCAGCACCATCAAAGCCTATGTGGCCACGGTGAGCCCAGGACCGGGGGTGGATGGGGAGCTCCTGGTTGTCCCCGTGCCTCAGTTTCTCCATCCGCCTCACCAGAGCAGTGGGAGGGGGGAGTAGCCAGGATGGTTCAAGGTGGGAGTGGGACTCGAGCCCTTCACGGGGAGGAGGTGGCAGGGCTCAGAGACAGCGTGACAGGGAAGGTGATGGAGGCTTGGAGTAGGAGCTCAGGCATGGGGAACCCCTGTGTCACCTTTAACCACGGAACTTTGTCTTCTCTGTGGCACAGGTGACCGAGAACATCATCCGCAGGAACGCTGTGAAGGGTGAGTCCCTCCTGGGCCAGAGCCTGACCCCTGGGAGCTGTGATCCATGGGAGCTGTGATCTATGGGAGCTGTGATCCGTGGAAACTGTGACCCAGGGAGCTGTGACCTATGGGAGCTGTGATCCAGGGAGCTGGGATCCGTGGGAGCTAGGATCCAGGAGAGCTGGGATCCAGGGAGCTGTGACCCAGGGGAGCTGGGATCCATGGGAACTGTCATCCAGGGAGTTGTGATCCAGGAGAGCTGTGATCCAGGGGAGCTGGGATCCCAGGAGGCCAGCAGGAGGTGGCAGGGGCAGTCACTCCTGGGGCAAACTCTGATTCTGTAAGCTGGGGTAGGAGAGGGGAGAGCCAGGATTGTCACTTGTCATGACAGGCACACGTTCTGGGAATGGGCTGGGGGACAGCCACGTCCATTTGTCCGGAGGTTGGGGAAGCAGGGCCGTGGCACTCACAGATGTGTTGGTTGATGATTGACAAGACTTCTCCATCCCTCAATAACCTTTTGCTCTGGTGGGTCAGTGGGGCATTCCCTGCCCTGCTGGCATGGGGCCGGGCGGCCCCACGCTGTTCTTACAGCATCTGTCCCTTTCCTGCAGAGGCCTGGAGGAACTACTTCAACACCTCAGAGGGGCAGCTTCCTCCCAAAACAGCTGGGAAACCCTCAGCACATCTCACCCTCCGTCCACAGAGCCTGGCTCAGGATGGTGAGTTGGGGAACCCCTCTGGGCACTGCTGGGTCTCCAAGATGGGAACGGGAGAGATCAAAGGGCAGGGGACCAGGATGGTTGGGTGGCTGATGGGGAGAGGCGTCTCCTGTTCACTGCAAGACCACCAAGCTCCAGCCCTCCGAGCTGAATGAGTGGGAAGGAGTCGGAGCCACCCCCTCCCCTGGTGTGACCGTGTCGGGTCGCTCCCCTCAGGACTCTCCCTTCCCGCAGGACGCTCCCAGCGCTCCGGGAACCTGTCCCAGTCGTGCCGCCACGCCATCACGCACTGGGGGCACGGCAGCCTGGTGTCCCACGTGCAGAACATGACGTACCGCGCGGGGCGGCTGCGCGTGGAGCAGCCGGGCAAGTACTACGTGTACGCGCAGATCTACTTCCGCTACCGCGGCGCCGGCCGCGACTCGGGCCCGCAGCTGGTGCAGTGCATCCAGTGGCAGCCGGCCCACAGCCCGCCCGTGCTGCTGCTCAAGGGCGTGGGCACCAAGTGCTGGGCGCCCGAGGCTGACTACGGGCTCCACGCGCTCTACCAGGGCGGACTCTTCGAGCTCAAGGCCGGTGACGAGCTCTTCGTCTCCGTCTCCTCCCTGGCCATCGACTCCAGTGACGCAGCCGCCAGTTACTTCGGGGCCTTCCGGCTCGACCTGTGACACCCCCTCCGCTCCCGCCTGCCCCTGGACAGCGGCCAATGGCCCGGGGTGGCACAGGGTTCTTATGGCTGCGTTGTCCCTTGTGGTGAGGGATGAGCCAAGAAGGACACGGGGGTGGCTGCCCCCAGGGCTCTGTTGTGCTTGGTGCCACCCTCCAGCGTCAACCAGGAAGAGTCTCCAAGGGCCTACAGGGGACATGCACAAGGAGGGACATCCTAGCCCTGGTGGCACAGCACCTACCAACAGCTCCCTGCAGCAGGAAAGCCACATCTGCCTCTGCAAGACAAATTGTCCCCATGGCAGGGTGACACCCATGAGTCTGATGCTACCTTGGGCAGGGCTGTGGGTGCCAGGACCTGGGGCTGGGAGCACCCCGGGACACAGGGCTGGCACCCCTGGGGCACACCTTGTGGGGATGGGGCAGGTCCAGTGTCAGCCTCTGGAAGGGAGTGAAGGAGTTTCAGTTTGGGAGAGGAAAGCCTGGGGCAGCAGCAGCGATGGGTGCAGGGAGGGCAAAGGGCAGGACCGTGACACCGCAGCAGTCCCCAGCCCTGGCACCACACCTGGCACGTGGCACTGGAGCACGTGGTGCCCGAGCCAGGCTGCACAGGACCAGGAGCTCAGCACGGCTGCTGACCAAGCACCTCTTCCCGTGTGGATTTTGTCCCCTTCAGCCCTCGTGGACAGCGCAGTCCCCACTTCCTCACACCTCCAGCCTTGGCAATCCCTGCAGGATTCCAGCTCTGGGTGAGCCCAGTGGTCACAGCAAGACCTTGGAGGGACCAAACCAGCCCTGGGGTGATGGACGCCAGCCCAGAGGCCAAAGGTGGGTTCAGGCAGGGCAGAGCAGGGCCCAGCTGGCTCAGCCCATGGACACTGGGTGGGCACAGCCCCCTTCTCCAACTCCCCCTGTACTCTCTGTATCCTACTAAAACTGGGGGGATTTACACAGTGGCAGTGTGCGCTGCCACAGGCATGGGGCTCCCGGGGATGATGGAATAAAGCCTTGTACCCCAGCACAGCTCTGGCCCCTTTGCACCCAGGACACAGCCTGGACAGGGTGGACCCAGAGCCAGGTGGAGCAGGGCTGGGGCGCTGCCAGAGCTGCAGACAGAGCCCAGCCAAGGCTCCTGCTTATCCTGCACCCACAGCACCCCCAGGGGCTCTGCAGCTGGCAGCCCCCACCCGAGGCACTCCCAAGGGGATGTGTTCCTGCTTCTCAACCCAGAGCCTTCATTCCCGCTGGGCAGAGCTCCTGCAGAGACCCCAAGAAATCTGAGCCCATCCCGGCTCCTCCCCTGCGCCCATCAGCTCCCAGGGGTCCCAGTGCTCCTCCTCTTTGAGTCTGGCATTGCCGAGCCCATTGCAGGACGCAGCCCGGCCCCGGGGTCACCGGTGGGCTGTGCCTGGGCTGTTCCTGGGCAGCTCCTGCAGCTTCCCAGGCCTGACTCCCGGCCCTCCACATCCTTGGCCGGGGCTGGGGCTGAGCCAGGCAGTTCCCACATCCCCCTCCCCAGCTGCTGGGCATTCCCACTCTCCAGCCCCCCATCTCCTGCAGGCTCCAGCCGCAGGGGGTTGATACAGCCCCCAAAGTGCGGTGCCACCCTGGCACCTGCACACAAGCACCTGGACCGGCCCCAGTGCAAGGGAAGATTCCCCAGCTCATCCAGAACCTCCAAAAGCTCATCCAAAGCCAGAGAGCACCAAGAGCAGCCTCCTGCAGCCTCCAAAGGGGTGACAGGGCTGATCCCCCCATGGCAGGGCCCCATCTTCCCCGTCCCCTTGCAGGGATGGAGGGAGCTGAGCCGAGCCTTGGCTCTGCAGCACTTGGCCCTGGAGCACACTGGGCTCTTGCCCAAAGCAAAAAAAGTGCTCCAAGCCCCTCCATTCTAAAACCATCCCTCTTCCTCTGTCCCAGCCACCTCGGTGACCCTCAGCAGGGCTCCTGACACCCTGAGGTCTCAAACACCCCCGGGAGCCCTGAGCTTATCCTGCCTCTGGCAGCAGCCATGGGAGAGCGGAGCTGAAGCAAGGACTACAGGAAATGCAGCAGGTGGTTCCAAGATTTCCTTTGAAAGGGAGTTTAACAGGGCCCAAGGGAGCCAGCAGAGGCTGTGTTTGCTGTGGAGGAAGCAGGGAAAGCAGTGAGTGGGGAGAGCTGGGCTCGGTGCCAGCAGGCAATGGCCCACCCCGCTTTCCTGGAAAGGAGAGGGCTCTGGGTGGGTGGATGGGAGAAGGAGAACACCAGCAGCATCAGGGCAAAGAGCAGCCTCACCCTGTCTGGGGAGAGCCCAGCTGGAATTCCTCACTGTGAGGAGCTGGCACAGGTTAGCCCGAGAGCCTCAGCCCCTGTGGCCCCTCTGCCTCCCCCACTGCCCTCCCCGGTGCTTCCAGGACTGGACACCCCCAGCCTGGCCAGGCCGGGCTCCCACCTGGACAAGGGGATCAGCACCAGCAGGAGAACCCAGCAGCATGAAATCCTGGCCTCCACAAAAACTGCCTGAGGCACCTGTGCCAACAGTACCTGTCCCAGGACGTGCTCCAGGACAGAAAGAACAAAGTGTGGAAAGACCTGGATGAGGACACACCACTGTTCTCTGACTAAAGAAACAAAATCTGCTGTGCAAATGGAGTAAAGTACTGAAGATTTGTCACACAACTTTTCTGTTATTGTTAAAATTGTTTATTAGAAATTACAACTCACTATTTTAACGTGTGTATTGTTGACAAGTTCACTGTAACTCCTGCTTGAAAGTGAAGTCGATGGTCCCTAAACCAACTCTGCAGCCTCCTCTGCCAGCAGCACCTCCCTCAGGGTGGGGAGAGCCACAAGAACAAAGAACTCCCCATTATCCCTTCTGACCCTGTCCCCAAAACCCAGCGCTCCAGCTCCCCAGGCAGCAGCACATCCCTGCAGTGTCCCTGCAGTGACAGAGCCTCAGAGCCCCCCGGCCCTTCCTTAACACCTCAGGCTGAAGGAGGACAGGGTCAGAAGGAAAGTGGGGAGAAATTCCCTGTGAGAGAGGTGAGGCCCTGGCACAGGTGCCCAGAGCAGCTGGGGCTGCCCCTGGATCCCTGGCAGTGCCCAAGGCCAGGCTGGACGGGGCTGGGAGCACCTTGGGACAGTGGGAGGTGTCCCTGCCAGAGCAGGGGTGGAGCCAGACGAGCTCCATGGCCCTTCCAACCCAAACCATTCCAGAATTCTGTGATTCCCTCCTGCTCTAACCCAGCCTAGGAGGTGGGGGGGGGTGATTGCAGGACTAATAAAATCTGCACGCTGACCTGATTTCCCATGGCCTCGCCCTGTGGATTCAATCCAGACACAAAGTGCTTCCTGCAGCTGCTGCCAAAGGACCCTCTTATCTCCACTGCTGAGGAGCTGCTTTTACCTCAGCCCAGGGCGTTCATAGCCCTGAGCCTTCGTCTCTAAATAAATCCTGGGCCAAAGGCTCTTTTTTTTCCTTCTTTGTTGTTATAAACCAGCTCATTGCTCTTTCCAAGTCTCCATCCCTGCCCAGACACGATCTTGTTTTACTTTCAAGTTTCCCCAGCCTGGCTCGAGTTCACAGAAGGGAGAGGAAATCCACGCCGAAATCCACGTCACCCCGGCAGGAAATCATTCCTGGGGACACTGTAAATAAAGCACACAAAGAGAGGCAGCGGCGGGGTGTGGTGTGAGCCCAGCAGCGCCCCTCGCTCTGCCCAGGGCACCCCACCAGCCACCGCTCCCCGAGGGGAACTCAGCCTGAAAGAAGAGGGAAACACAACAGAGGCCTCTTTCCTACAGGAGGATTCGTGGAGCTGCGGGATGCTCCCTAAGCCCTGAGGAAAGCACTGATGCTGTGGGCGAGCAGGGGAGGCCGGAGGCTCAGCGCATCCCTTGAGCAATCCCAAGGTTTGGCTCGGAAGGACCTTGCAGGGCCGTTTGGTGCAGTCCCATCCCAGCTGTGCTGCTCCCAGCCCCTTTCCCGCGGCCCCACTGGGACCCCAGAGGGAAGAAGGGATTTCTCTCCTTTCCAGGAGCAGTTCCCCGCGCAGCCCGTGGCTCCCGGCAGCAGCGGGGCCGTTCCCCGCTTCCCCCTCGCTCTCAGCAGCCCCAGCCCCGGCTCTGCCCGCGGCGGAGGGAGCTCGGCACAAGGGAGGGAAGCGCCGAGCCAGCCCCAGCCGGGTGCGGGCATCCCGCACCACTCACCATGCTCGCTCCTTTTATTCCCCCGTGAGACAAGCTGGAGACATCGGGAAGGAATAATCCCGCATTTAAAGAAAATTCCTCATTTTGTGTCCTGTTCAAATCCCTGCACTATTCCACAGAACCAAGAAATCAGACTGTTTGGGTTGGGACTTGAGGATCAGCTCAGTGAGAGGCTCAGAGTCAGATCCCGGCAGTCCCACCCTGTCCTTCCAGCATCCGACAGCCAAGTGCACCCAGCCTTGTCCCAGAGAGACCACCAAAGTCATGGGCCATAAATGGGATATTGCAAACCCCCTCCCGGTCCTTTCGGGTCACTCATCCAGTGGATGCAGTGGATGGGCCTCCCTGGGTCTGTCCTGCATCCCCGTCTGTCTGTCTGCCGAAGGGAACCACAGGGCTCCTCCTGCAGTGAAGCAATGGAAGAGCAAGAACTGGACTGGCAAAGCCTCTCCCAAGAGCTGCGAGTTTGGCACCGTGAGGACTCCAGACCCTGCTGGCACCCAAAGGGAGCCCCCCAAAGCCCGGCCCTACCGAGCTTTCCCTGCCCTTCCCACTCCCACCCTCCCGGGCTGCACTTTCTCCAGAGAGCATCCCCAGGAAACCTCTCCCACTGAAGACACCATGCATGGCACAGAGCCAGGAGCTGCTGGCAGGTGTTTCCTGCCCCAGGCTCCCATCCCCATTGGGCAGAGCAGCTGCAATTCCCTCTGACAGCTGCTCCCTGCCCTCCTTCCCCGGGAGCAGCTGGAATGAGCCAGCTGGGATGGTCCATCTGGGATAACCCTGCACACGGGTTTCCCTTTTGGCACCTTACCTTCGCACTGGCTGCTGCAGCCTTCCCACAAGGAGAGGAATCCACTCATGGATCTAATTGAAGCAGGACCACATTTCCCAAAGCTGGGACCCTCCTGAGGATGGTAAGGTGAGGAGAAAATAGAAAAGCTTTGTGTTTCTGCTATCCCAGGAAGAGCAGTACACAGGACAGGCA